CGGCGCCAGGCGAAGACCTTTTTATTTAAACGTCATTTTAATTGTTAATATTATTTGCTTATTTTATCTGGCCAGGGCGACTTATTTTATATTGTTAGTTTGTTGTATATTTGAATGTTTTATATTTTAATTTTATGTTGTGAGCTGCCCCGAGGCTTCAGCGAATGGGGCGGCATAGAAATGTTTTAAATAAATAAAATAAATAAATATGATAGGATATTTATGCACCAGTTGAGTTGTTTATTATGGTCAACTATGTTTAATTTGTTTTATGGGTTGGTTGTGTTTTAGTGATGGATTGTTTTAGCACTTTTGAATTGCCCTGTGTTTTAATTCTGTTGTAAGTTATCCAAAATCTATTTTAAAGGCATTTAATCTAATCTTCCTTCACCTCCTCATTCACTCTACCTGCATGTAATAATGCAGAAATGTGTTTCTTTATCATATTCTAAAGATAACCTGGATTAGGGTTATGCAATTAGCCATGCAACAGCAGTCACAGTACCTTTATCGTGATAGAATACAAGAATAGATATCCCTGGACTTGGACAGACAATGCCTGTAAGGAGTGATTTTAGAATGGAAGATGTGTATTAGGCTGTATGTATACAGCAGAATGTAACAAGTACAGCATCTGAAGGTCCAACCTATTCATAATAAATGGAAAAGAATGTTTATTAGGAAGCTAAATATGTAATAGAAGCAACAGTAGGCTGTAGCTGCTACAAACTCAACTTTGATTATAAAGGTCAATGCTGGAATGACTAGATTTCTCTTGGGAGAGAATGTCCATACAAGAATGGAGGAGGCACAATAGCAGCAGCTGTTATAGCTTTAATAAGAAGTACTACCCTTGGGCTTTATCCAAATACATGCAAAGACATCACAGTGTCTCCCGCTGACATTTTGCTGCTTCACTTTCGGCCTTAGTCATAAGTTACTATTCAAACTACTCCTGAACGGGAACATTTGTATTCTGTCTTAGGTCATAAAAGTATTGGTTGATTTGTTGAGTGTTGTAAGCTCAAAACAAAAGCATTGTAAAAACTGAGATTGTAAGCTTTTCCTAATTCAGAATAAAGACCACTGATCTTGCTGCAGCCACTGCCTATTTAAGACACCCAGACATTCTGACGTATGGTACATTCATAACTGTAGTGACATTTTGATTGACATATTTTAAAACATATTTTTACTTATTTATTTAATAGCAACTAACAGCATGGATTAAAACACGCACATCAATAATCAAAGAAGGCAATACTAAGAAGCAATTAATTAACTGTATAAAAAGCATAAAACAATGACACAGTATTAATGATAGTCAAATCAGATAGCAGAAACTTCTGAAATTGCATTTGAAATCCTAGTAGTAGTAGTAGTAGTAGTAGTAGTAAATAATAATAAGAGCCCTTCAGATTTAAAAAAACCTTCTGTGGAATAGTCACGTCTCAGTCAGGAAGCTATAACATATAGAATATTTCTAAAATTCACAGCCCACCTTTCAGTTTCAAAAGGCTTTTTAAGACAGTTAAGATATGTCTGAGTTAGTGTGGCATAGTAGAAAAGAGACTGAGCTACAAAGCAAGAATACCCTGGGTTGGATATTGCCCATGAGCTGAAATTCGGGGTGGGTAAGGTCAATCTTGTGAAAAGAATAAAAACATTTTTATATCGTTTGAAAAGGAGTGTTGTAAAAGTATTTGAACACCCTGCAGTGATCCCAGATCAACTAGAATAAGCCAACATGGCCACCAAGGTAACAAAAGCAGGGAAACACCATGTTTCAAAATAGTCATTAGATAAAGGTAGGGTTGTGGGCTGGGGTTGGTGAAAGTAAATATATAAATAGGCCAAAAAATTCCTCAAGATTTTTCTTAATAGACAACTGGCTTACATAAGAAGATACTATTGTATGCATGACTCTTTTATATGTTAAAAATTACTTAACTTTGGAAAATAAGTAAAATAGGACTGTCCTTTTATATTTATCTCAGAAGTCACAGGTTCCTATTCAGTGCAGTTTAGTTATCACTGCCCCCATGTATGCACACAAGTGAGTAAACTCTGATGCCAGACACCTATGAATACACATTGTTCCCTTCCAGTTCTGCTGCTTGGTCATGCTTTGTTGTTGGTGTTGTTGTTAGTCGCAAAGTCGTGTCCGACCCATCGCGACCCCATGGACAACATTCCTCTAGACCTTCCTGTCCTCCACCATCCCCCGGAGTCCACTTAAGCTCACACCAACTGCTTCAGTGACTCCATCTAGCCACCTCATCTTCTGCTGTCCCCTTCTTCTTTTGCTATCTATTGTTCCCAGCATTAGGCTCTTCTCCAAGGAGTT